CAGGATGGAACTAAGTAATTTTTTGCAGTAAGATAAAAAAGAAGGCCCATAATGAATAGTAAATCAAAATGGTATAGTAAATAGTATAGTAAATATAAATTTGCTATTTAATAGTGAACAGTAATAGTAAACTACTATTTGGTAATTTATAAATTAGTACATTGAATAGTAAATAATAAATCAAGATTTTTCATAACTAAGGCTTCTAGTTTTGTTCTCTACCTATGGCAAAATACTGTTTCTCCTTTTTCTATATGAATTAATATTTAAAATATAATTTTCGTACCAAACCTACACGTATAAAAAACATGAACTCTTAGCTGTTGAGAACACAGTCCATTTTCATCCTTTACTTTAGGCACTTGCTTGAGTCACTGCAGCTAGAAGGGTAGTTGACTATGAACCCTCTACTATTAGAGGAGTAAGTTAAGGCTTAAGATGCTCTGAGGAAGACTGTGTATATCCATCTTCATTGGCTCTAGAAGGAACTTATTAAAATTCAAACTTAGATAGCTCAGATTTCATACATGTTGGTCATTGTTGCTAGATTTGGGGTACCAGACTGTGTGCTCCACACTGTAATTTAGTATTCTCAACATTCTCCACCTCCTTTCTTTAAGTTTTCTTCTATGATGACAGGAACAAGGAAGAGAGAATACAAGAATATATAGGTGCAATCTTATTTACCAGTCTCAAGACTGTACATCTTTATACACAATGATGACTTAATGAAAACTGTGCAAGTAGTCTTGAGTACAAAGTATCACTTTGCTCACATATGAATTGAGAAACCAGCATGTACATTCAACCATATAAAGACTGAGATTGACTCTGAAACTTGTTAATTTATGTAGATTGCTGGTCCCTCTTTTGCATTCTCCTTACAACAGCCTTACGTTGTTAAATCAAATGTAATCACTTAAGTGCAACTGCATCAGCACGGGTGCAATCCAACACAGTACTTCAAAATCGTATAAAGGTACTTAGAGATCACTTTGTATTAAACATAAAAATTATCAGGCATCATTATTTAGTGACCAAGAATGGTTTATCTTTTAGCTTTGTTCTCTGTACCTGTGGATCTTGTAGGTTTCTGGGGAAAGAGTTTCCTTTCATTGTGGAATTGACGGAGTCTTTTCTATGAGCCAGACATCTGCACTGTGATAGAAGGAGGATGTTGGATGTAATGGATTAAAGCACTCCTGTCAGAGACTGGATTTGGATCTCGCCGGATTGTTTGATTGATGGGTTGAATAAACCATGTTGTCTCTGTGTATGTGGGGGTAGGAGTAGGGAGGAAGGGCTAGGCCTAGGTCTGCAGCCAACATGTCCATGTCCATGCAGAGCACATGGCAGGGAAAGCGGTGTCACTGGGCTGTCAATGGGGTCCACCTGGTGGCCAGCCCACACCATGCCTCCTGCAGCCTTTGAGTGGCTGTGGCACCCCTGACTTTGGCTGGGGGGACAGTGAGGGGCAGTGAACCTTTACTCCTGTGGGCAACTTAAACACCTATTTTCTGTATTTCACTTAAGTTATGGATTTTTTCACTTAAGTTGCATGGAGTTTGTGTTTGCTGGGTGTGACAAAGGTTCCCTTATTATAGCAATGCTTGGTAGTGTCAGTAATCTGTTGTAACACTTTTCGGAAGTTGCATGTTATTTCTGTAAAACCCTTTTTGCCAAAATGCCAATTTTCTCACCAAATAAAAAGAAATCTCTTAGAGAAAAATGTGTAGTTTTTCTCCAGATGTGAACTCAAGGTATCAGAGAATCAAAGACTTTGCAAGGGTTCACGTGGGTGAAATCTCTTGAAGTCTCAAATTAAGGTGTACAACCGGTAAAAGCGTGGAGCTTCTGGACCCCTGTGTAACAACTCCTGACAAGTTCTCAAGAAATGTGTGTGCCAAGGACAAATAATCTAGACCAGAATTCAGTGCAATGCCTCCTTTGTAATATCTGAAAGTAGATTATGGGGACAATGCAATGATAAAGCAGAGATCTCTTTCAGATCTTATAGGTATGGGAGAGGGCAAAGCTGCAGCTGTGTCATCAGCTAGGGCAGGTAGTATTTAAGGTCTTCCATCAGGCTTCTAATAAAGGAATTTTACCAGGAACTTCTTTGAGAGGTTTGCTTTTATCAGAGATCTCCAACCTCTAGCAGAGGGGATTATCTAGGCACTAAAATACAACTGCCCCTGTAAAATAGAATAAAACTCATCCCATGTCCTGAATTTACCAGATTTTGGCTAATAGGATATTTAAACTGGGGAGTTTAAAACATCCCTCCAACAGAGATTTATGAGACTGGCAACGTTGATACCCAAATAAAAAATACCACTCTGCAGCATGATGTCTGGAGTCTGCAGAATGCAGAATGAGTTCAAAAAGCCAATTCTCTCTTCTCCTCTGGACACTAATCAGGTTTACATTTCCCTCTCTGTTACTGGACACTCTTTTCTGTTGTTCTTTTTTATTCTTCTATGCCTCAATAAGTTTTCCTTGCAATATATGCTGAAGCGAAGTTTCCACACACTTGGCTGTCAGGAACTCAGAATTTCACTTAGCACCAAAAATAATCTAGTACTGATCAGGAAAAACATTTTATTCATGGAAGTAATAGTTTGGTAAATTGTAAATTGTAAATTATTAAAACCTCTCCTTTTCAAAGTATTGTTTTAAATTAAAACCAAAGGATTGTGTAATCTATTTTATTATTTGTATGGAACATCAGTTAAAATTAAAAGGAAATGCCATTAAACTAAGCAGCAGTCTAAGTCGTTTTTATATGACTCCTAGCTCTTAATAAAAACATAGCTGTTCGTGTAATTCACTATAATGTTGGATAGCAATAAAATGTCTTTTTCATTACAATCAATACCTATGAATACCAAAGACCTGTAGTGTGCCATGGCCTTTCTCAATAGGCAGCCTCACTTGGTGGTAAGGAAAATTGCTACTGTCTTATATGAAACCATTTTAGCATCACCCCGAGCTTAATAGAGCAGTCTTTCATTGCCTGTTAACAAGCTGAGCTATTGCCAGGAAGTGTTTAAACTGACAAATGCTGTCAGTGCTCTTTCCTTGCAAAGATTAATCTTTTTGGTGTGTGTAGTGTGTTAACATTAGTTTGATTTCTATCAAAACATATGGTGATTAGTTTATTTGACAAATCAATCAGTCTGTTAGTTCAGGATAGAGAAAGTCTCTCAATAACAATAGCCAGATATCAGCATACCAGTGGTAAGTGGAAGTCCCTATGTCTGCGCTTAATTTCATCATCATTTCAGATGCATTAAAATATGGAGGAGATACAAAACTCAAGGGTTGTATTGTGTAGCCCTATCTTGTGCTCTGTAGTCACTAGTTCTTCCTGTGCAATATACAAGACATTGCTATTATAGTGACAACCCACATATATCAAAGTGATGGAATGACAAGCATCTCATAAAGGCCAGACATGCTGACATTATACAAGCATTTATGTACTTGCAGTTACATATAATGCATACTGATAATACCATATGTAAGTAGAACAAATGAAGGTACACAGTATTTATGGAGGTTTTGTGTAAGGTGAACGGTCACATAAAGAAATTTAAGGAAAGAATTGTTCCATTGCTCTGTATCCTAAAAGGGAAAAGATCAATCCTAAAAAATTTTTTAACATGAGAAAAATAAAACACGTAGGCTTTTTGGGTACATACATCAATTTTATGATTTCAACCGTTGAAGTTATAATAAGGATGCATTCTTTGTGCTGCAACATCTTCCAAATTACAGAAAGCTTTGGAAAGCTTTCACGGGCTGTTAGGAGACAGGAAGAGACAAGAAGAAACACTGAAGAAGATGGGCTGGTGTGTGCTGCTGTAGGCAGTTTCCTTCCTCCTTTATTTTATTGCAATCTCGATTCCATAATTTATCACAAGGTAACCCCCTTTAACCCTCATGGCACAAAGCTGTGCTGTACTTATCCTGCTGCCTGTTTCGCTGAGTGCTCTTCAGGTAGACCTGGTGGATGATATGTGTTATTTTTTGAGTGTCATAGAACTAGTAGTGATTTTGCTTCCAAGTCTTATGGTTAGGATTTTACTTTTCAGTAAGCCTGGCAAAAGGAAGTAATAAATTTTATTATTATTATTTTATAGGGGAAATGTACAATATTTTATTCTCTGTCCATTTCCAGGAGCCTGTAGCTTCATCAGATTTTCTAGATTATAAAATTCTTGAGGAATACATTTGTTGCAGGTAGGTCGGTTTGCAAGCTCCATTTTCAGCTGCAGGTTGAGCTGTGGGCAGAGAGCCCGAGAGGAGAGGAGAAGCTGTGAACTGCTGACCCTTTGCATAACAAAGGCACCTAGAAGGCACTGGGACCCGTGGAGCAGCCAGGAGAATGGACATTGAGAGACACAGCTGGAACCGAAGACTCGGGAAGATGAGCGAGAGTTTCATGTGCTTGGACTGTGAGGATATAAAAGCACAAGGGGTCCTTGGTTGAGGGTTCCTCCTCGGAGGCACCAGCTCAGGCTGTTTCTGTGTTACTGAGCCGTAAATAAATGGCTCTATGGAATGAGACATCTGAGACAACGCTGTAGGAAACCTAGTCTGATTCTGAGTGGGTGTTTAGGGAGTCGAGCGGGGCACCCGTTGGCTCACTGGAGCTGCCGGCTGAGAAGGGGCTTCGGTGTCTCTAGCTTTGAGAGTGTGACTGCCAGAGAGTCTTGTGAGTGGTGAGACTGGGAAGTTTCCTTAACAAAGTGGAGTTGGATGTGAAGGGAAAGGAAGACGCAGTTGTTAGTCTGAACCTTCTAATTTCAACTGGTTTTCATGAAACAATTAGCAATTTCATTATGTCTTTTGTTTTGAGCTGGAACAGTTATTAGGCTCTTTAGATAAAATCTTCATGAAGTCCGGAAGCAACTTAAAATCTCGCTTTCAAATGAAGTAAGGATCTTTCCTTGAGAGTTACTTTTTCATTCCCCTGCCTAATATAAACTTAAGTTGTAGCCTTTCTGAGACATGTAGTTAATCTGTGGGGAAAAGTGACTCTTTAACGAAAGTTTTTTTTCTTTGTGCTCTCAGGAATGTCTGGAATACTGTAGTGACTAAAAAAGAAGAAAAAGAATTAATGAATAACTTTCTTATGCCAGCTGTGGGTTCAAATCCATATTTCTTGCTACTTTTCTCAAGATATGCAGACCTAGAAATAAGGTTTCAGAGCAAGAAAAAAAAAAGCTAAAATATAAAGAGATACAGATTCTCACAAAGGGGGGAATTGTCTTCTTTTTTACTTGCAAAACCTCAACGGAATCAAAAGGAGGACAGAGCAGTGCTATACAGTTCCCTGAAAAACAGTCGTCCTCTATATCCTGGAGAAGTAGGATTTTGCATCGAAATCAGGCTCATGCTACACCAAGTCTCAATACAAGCACTGTATTAGTTGAGACATGGGGGGAGTTTGGAGGGAGCAATCAAAAGGAAACATAGAGGAAACTCCCACTTCATTTAAAGCACTTCCTAATTGCTAAGTTCCTGAAATAATGTTTGAAACAACTCTGAAATTTCATGCATTCTAATTACATACAGCAAAGTAAGATACAGGTTTTTCAAGAATCTTTCCATATCTGTGAAATGCCATTGAGGGTTGAATGTACAGCCTCTCTAGATCAGGAGACCAAGTTAAATTGAGGGCTGTCACTGCATAATAACAATGTTGTTCTTCATAAAACATTCGTTATATTGTGGGCCAAAGGTTTCCTGTTTCCCTGAGCTGTGGGATTTAGCACAGTTGTGTTAGTGCTGAGAATTTTATGCAAAAGCCAGTAGTTATGCTTCTGATATTATAGAGATATCTGAAGTTTTAAATAGCTACCCTTTGCACAGCTTGTGAGAAAAATTTAGGCACACATAATTTAATTTCTAGTTCTCTTTAAGTGGGGTTTGAAAGACACTTTCCAAAATGCCAAACTGATTTGGTTTTTTGGAAATAAAATACATATTTGTCAGTTTATTTATAGCTTTTTACTTGAGTTACGTTATTTTGAATGTGTAAATGAGAAATTATCAGAAATAGGACCTATGTGTACATCAGGCAAGTAAAACATACAAGGTTAGTATACTCTGATAAGTTTGCATACCACTGGGGATGAGACCAATTTTTTTGTCATCTGGTCCTCATGACTATTTAAAAAAATGCAGAAAGCATTTCTATATAATGTATCAAAACCACTTTGGAAGCAGAAATCTTTTTCTTCATAATCATGTAATTGTACTTCTGTTCCAAAATATGTTTATCCATATGCAGAAGTTTTGGAATCTAGTTTGTTATAAGTTCTGGGCTTCTAAACATTTACACTTACTTTGAGCAGATTTTAATTTTTGGAGAAGATTTTCAGTGCTAAACAGAAGCATTTTCATTGAAGATTGCATCTGCTGCAAAGGAACAGCAAATGGGTGTTAATATCAGTGAAGATATTTGCAATGTGGAGGCTTTTCTTGTTTGGTTTTTTTTGGGGTTTTTTTTTTGGTGAAGTTTGCATAAAGTCTCTGGAACATTTTTCCCCTTATCTTCCTGCACCAATACATTAAAGCCTTTCCAGAACAGCAGAGATGCTTTATTAGCATTTGCATTTTGTTCATAAAATTATCATCATACTCCTTTTGTTCAAGTAGATCTCATATGATCTTTCTGAATAGCTGCAGAAATAAAATCAGCTTGCTGCCTGCAAAAGCCAAGGTCTTGCTGGGAATCAGACTGTGGCCCTAGTAAAAGAGTAATATTAGGGTGATGGAATCCAGATCAAATAACAATCTCAAAAGTGTGGGGAACATGGAGAAATGTAGGAGCTCTGTCTTCTGAGAACTGTACTTCAGTATTAAAATCTGCCATGCTAATTGCTTAAGAAATCTCTCTTAGATTGCTTTTAGTTGCATGCAGGTGAAATTGCGTTATTTAAAAAAATACCAAAAAAAGCATCCATTGTAGTTTCAAGTACCTTGTGGTCAGTCGGTGGCTTTTGCTGCTTTATGCATTAAACTATAAGCAGTGTAGTTGGCTGAAGAGAGGGATATGCAGACAGTCCTATGGTTTGGAAGCAGATAGCTGAAACAATACACATTTACTTTAGTGTTTCAGTCATTTAGTATCTTTTGGAGAAATAGTTTAACAGTGTGATTACAAGAAAATATATGCACAGTTTAATGTGCGTAACCAAGGTAACGCTGAGGTCTGCTGGGAAGGAAGAGGATTTATTTTGGAACCTGTTTTATAAAAATGTGTATTAATTGGTATCTCAGAATTGTGTCTGGATTTCAGTTTCCTATTTTCCTATTCCAGTTTCACAGGATCTGCCTGTGTGAGAGCTGAATCTCTCAAAAATGCTGACATTAATTTTTAGGTTTTGAATCCAATTTTGAGGGAAGCTTTTACTTCAGGGAGTTGAATTAGGGCCTATAAACTGTATAGTCTGTGATGACACACCAAAAAGATGTGGTAGCTTGTTATAATAAGGACTTGTGCTTGACACTTTTTGAAACTTTATAAATGCAGTTTCTCTTTTTAATTGCCCTGTGAATTCTTGCTGCCCAATGCAAACCTTGCCTGGACAAAAAAAATTCTGATCCCCTCTGGAGTCTGGATCCTTATCTGGAAATACTGGCTGGAAACATAACCCCATGTTACTTATAGATAAAGGTCCAAGCTTTCAAAACAGGTTGCAGGGAGAAGTTTAAGGTCCAGCCTTGCACAGGCAGGTTGAATTTAGTGTTGTTAAAAAGCATGCTGTCCTATTGCATTGCATTCAGAAATGGGGTTTCACTAATAAGTCCCAAAATATCTGCTGCTTTTCTGTTCATTTTCATTTAAGGATTGTGTTTCATGGCTGACTCAAAATCTGTAGCTTTTGGATCTCAAGCAGATTTTTGCCCTTCTGTCTGCTGTTTAGCTCTGATAGTATATCTGTTAATGTATTAATATGAATACAATTTGGAGCAATGATCATGCTGGAAATCCCTGGTGGAACTGTGTGACTACAAGGCCTCTGAATTTACTGTCTAATATCTGAAATTCATGTCTAATAGCTTCAAGGTCAGACGTCTGAAGCAGTTACAGTGTTTTGTGTTGATGAAATATTGCATTAGCAGTATATAAATGTTGATTAAGTGTTATTGACAGTCATTGGTAAATTATTGGCTTGCTTTTCTGCTACTGCTAGAAAACTTAGATTTCTCCAGACTTCTTACAGCATAGGTAGACAGTTTTACATAAAAATTCAGTGATCACATAGGTAGCTGCTTACAAATATGTTAACTAATGATTTAATTGGGTCTCATTTATAAAATATGGGAAGGTATTTTTTTGTGTGTTGCGAGATTAATCCTTTTTTCTAAGGATACCAACAAATATATAATATTATTTTAAGAAAAAATAACCAGTCTATTGTCTTAGAAAACTGCTTAGTCCAAAGCCTGTTAAATTCAATGGGAGTCATTTGATTGACTCTTAAAAACCCAGACTTTGGCATCATGCCTTTTCATCTTTCGTCCCCAAACCTTCTGCTTTCCAGGTACTCTCTACCTACCGTAAATACACCGTGTCTTCCATGATTATGAACAAATTCACATACTACATAGTATAGCAAAATATTCTCTATGCCTTTTCTGACTCTCATCCAAACTTCTTTTACTCATACAGTCTCCCATAATTGTCTGTTTTCTGGTGTTTTCTAGGTAGAGCATATTTGTTATGACAGATGTGCTAGATCTGCACTACAAGTTGCTGTGTTGAATACCTTGCATGATTCTCATGTGTAGAATGAGAATTATGTGTAGTTTTGCAAATGCAAAAGCAGGAGAGTTAAGCAATCAGAACAAAAAGCCTTCATCCCTGGGGTCCTAAACCCAAGAAGGACATGGACCTGTTGGAGCGAGTCCAGAGGACGGATTTAAAAATTATTAGAGGGCTGGAGCACCTCTCCTGTGAAGATAGACTGAGACAGTTGGGGTTGTTCAGCCTGGAGAAGTGAAGGCTCTGGAGAGACCTTCTAGCAGCCTTCCAGTACCTAAAGGGGCCTACAAGAAAGCTGGAGAGGAAGTTTTTACAAGGACATGTAGCAATAGAAGAACAAGGGAGAATGGCTTTAAACTGAAGGGGTGGATCTAGATTAGAGATCAGGAAGAAGTTCATTATGCTGAGGGTGATGAGGCACTGGAACAAGTGGCCCAGAGAAGCTGTGGATGCCCCATCCCTGGAAGTGTTCAAGGCCAGGTTGGATGGGGCTTTGAGCAACCTGGTGTAGTGGGAGGTGACTGCCTATGTCACAAGAGGGTGGAACTAGATGATTTTTAAGGTCCCTTCCAACCCAAACGATTCTATGATTCTATTCCATGATCATAGAAATGCAGTGAGCAGATCTTTATCCATCTGTCAAAAAAGAGGTCTAAAAACAGCTCCTTCGAATGCTTTGGACTCCCCAGTGTAAAACTGTGTTTTATAATCACTGAAAGACACATCTTCATCCCTCAATCTTGTTGTTGAAAGCTCTGAAGCTCATCTAGGTATTTTCTAAGGAGAGAATGGTTTGTTGTACTTTGGATATTCTGAAATTGTGCTGAGGAGATAAAACACTTCTTAGCATGTCACAATACTCATTTATAAATCTACTTAGCAGTCCTGGATGAAAAATCCTGACAAGCATGCTTAGCTCAAATCTGTGTAAATTAAAAAGGGAAAAAAAGAAGTTGGTTACCATGCTGTCTATTTTGCATGTTGTGTTTCCAAAAACTGACCAGTAAATGAAAGAAAAAAAATGCTTTGTTTTCTGACATCAACATTAAAACTAAAAGACGTCTCTATGTCTGTATGCATTACATAGAGGATTATATTTTCTACATGCTATTCAGGTTTCTTTTGGGAGAAAAATGCTTTTTGGCAGAAGTGTTAGCTTTATAGGTAATCTCCTTTCTTGAATGTCAGTAGGCATCTGGATAGATTTACTTGTTCTCCTTCAGTTTTTTCTGCCTTATTAACTTCTACTTTTTTTAGGATTTTGTTTTACTGTTCCTCCAGCTGAAACAGACATTTCCTTAAGAGAGTGAACATAACTCTGATGAGGCAGGTATCAATTTCTGCATTTGACATGGTTACCTCTGAGTAAATGAGGTGGACTCTCACATTGCCCTCATATATGGTGACCTTCTGATAAGTGTGTCCAACAACCTTATATCTTCTGTGTCCACTTATGTCTTCTGTGAGTCAATGTACTAAGAATACGATTGATGCAAACATGTATAGGAAATAATGTGTGTAGTCATTACTGAGTCATGATTGTTCCTAGGCACAGTAGTAACTAACCCCTTTGAGAGGACAAGAAATTTATACCCTTGTTCATCTCCACCCTAATTTTTTCTGAGTATACTATTCTGAATCCCATAAGCCAGTAATGAATCTAAAACCTTGGAGATAGCTATAAGGTTTATAACACTGAAATGTAGGTGGGCACAACATATTGTATTTTCCATACTGTTGATGTGAATAACTGTAATTCATGCTTAAAATGTTGCAAATGTTTAGACGTGAAATAAAGCCATAGTTTAACTTAACCAGTAAGAGCATAAAGAAAAGGTCTCAACAAGACAAATGAGGTAGAGTAATGCTGAATGACAGTAAAATTCAGTAAAATTCATCTGGAAAGTGAAAGAGATTACAGCATCATTTGTTTCTACTGTCCCTTCTTTCCTTTTTCCCTTTTTCTCAGCCAGTTGGGTAAAATGGGAGGATCCGTGTAGTGCTCTGTGAAGCCCTGTGACCCACCCAATGCTCCTCCCACCCCAAGTCAGTCCTCTTGCAGGGTAAATTCTGCCATCTTTACTTATTATTTCATGATCTGTTATATGGGAAACACTGCATTCCAGCCAATAAGGCATAAAATTCTAATCTGTTGGTGTTGACAGAATTACTCTCAGATTAATATTACTTTCAGGAGGATAAAAGCTTTACCAAGGCAAAATGAGATTTTATATGCTCTCAGACTCTGGAAATGAAGACTGTTTTTAAGAAGAATTTTTGTTAGGATGACCATTAAATTTATTAGGGGTAAAATGTTCTCAAATTTTACATCTTCTTCCTGTTCTTCAAAAATTTTTGTTGGACAAGAGACTGTAATTAATGACCTTATATATAGTTCTGAATCTTTGTAATGAGCAGATGGTAACTGATACTTACGTCTGTTCAATAATCTCATATTATGCTATTTAGTTTTTGGAACCAAAGTCTGCTTAGAACTGATTTTGATTGTTTCTCTATGTGAAGGATCTGTACCTTGGAATCTTGCAATCAAAATATTTTGAAGGTTATATCTTACCTATATTACTAGAACTGATTCTTCTATAAATGGTATAAAAAGTGTTAGATCTCGTATTGTTTCCAAAGTGGGGGTTTTGTGTGTGTATATTTTGTTGTCATTGTTATTGTTTTGTCCGAATTTGCAATGAGCGTGTTAAGGTAGATTTAATTTTCTTTGATTGTTATTCCATTTGGAAGACACAAGTTAAAAATGTTCATTGGTGTAAGGATGGTTGATGGCTTTAAATATGCTGGATAACATTTACAGAATTGCTTTGTCATAAAAATACAAACACCGAAAAGTTAAGAGTTGAGTGACAATAATTAGCTAGACTGACTTTTGGAATCAGTCTAATGGTTCAATTTAACGTCTCTGTTGGTAAAATAGGTATAATAACCTAGTTATGTAAAAATACTCTCCCAATGAACTGTGCAGCATCATTTTCCAGATGCCGTAGTCATATAACTGTATGGATATAAGGACTAAAGTGACCACAGAATACCTAAGAATAAAGCTCCAAAGACATTAAAAAAGGGATGGTAGATCAACATGGTGACTGAAGAAAGCTAAGTCTGCCTCAGTTATCTGGAGAATGGAAAAGACCTATGGAAGAACAGGAGCTCGACATATGTATAGATTTTTTGAAAGGATATTCATCCTATTTGAAAAGTTAAGTTATAAATGTAACTACATTTTTTTTAAAGAATGCTACCACGTACCTTTTCCTAAGTAGCTGATGAGATTTTAATTTGGATTTGCTGAGGATAAATTGGTTATTACCTATGTGGGCTGCACTCAAATACCATATCTGACTACAAGTGTGGGAAGATTCTCTGTGTTCTTTGCTATACCTGTATAATCTGGCAAGCTGGAAAATGATTGAGCTAACCTAGAACTAGTTGGAAACATGATTGCTTCAAATTCATACATGAAAAGAGCAAGGAAAGAATAACCCTTCTGGTGATCTGAGGGGGAAAATGTTCACTAAACTCTTAAAGTTACTTTGAAGTCTCATGTAAGCCATCAGGTGCCCAAGTTTTTAAATTACATACTTTAAGAAGCCAGGCAGTCATATTCCAGCAGTGCTTTCTATCTATGCTTTCCCCTTTATGCTCTAAGTAGAAGAATGAATTTGTACTTAAAGGAAGACTATAAACATTCTGATTGCCTGTAACGGGAGTGATAGATTTTATGCTGTACATCTTTTCAGCGAATTTTCTCAGGGACCCTCCACCGTATTTTAAGATTTTATGATCTTGATTACTAAAGCTAAAAAAAAAAAAATAAATCTGTTTCATGACCATTTTTTCTGCATCTTGCCCTTCTTTCAAATTGATAAATGGACTTCAGTAAAAGGAACTTTTGAGATACATGAAAATGGACTGTTCAGACTCTTCCTTCCCAAGTGTAAAGGGCATATAGTTATTTTAATAAATCTTTGCTTAATACAGAGAAGAGAGTTCTGTCGTAGAGAAGGGAATAAGCAGGTGAAACAGCACTTATAAGGGATGAGGAAAAAGATGTTGCACAAATGAAGGCACAGGGTCAGAATCTGGGGAGTGCACAGGTTGAGTGTTTGAATAGGAAAGGCTGTGTCTCTTAAAAGTTTTTCTGAAAGAGTCTGCAAGGTGGAGATATGTCCTAAATATAGGATCTAGACATGTCACTTGAGATAAGTCATTGGTTTTCTATCTGAGGAGGCTGGAATTATTCACAGACATACAGGAAAGAAAGAGTAAAGATCTCTCAGGCTGAACAGTAAAATTAAGAGTTCTCTTTATGCCATTATTATCTTAAGCCAATAATTAGGAACTTCTTGAAATATATCAGTGTTATATTAAAGCAAAATTAGAGAAGTAGGACTAAAAGCAGAAAGGAGTGATCCCAGAAGCTGCAAGATGACTATATTTCAAGAAAAAACTTGTTCCAGCAGCATTTGAAGATTAGGAGGGTGAAAATTAAGCACTGGTGCTGCTTTTGGCCAAGGAAAAGCATCGACAATATTTCTGGGAAAGTTGCATCCATGGAATACAAGGATAGAAGTCATGCTGAATTACAGGAACTACAGACACAAAGTATAAATAGAGAAAAATAAGAACTTAGAGATAACTGTAAGAAAATACTTAAGATGGGATTGTAGGTGGTTGATTATGAGTTGTTTCTGTTGTGGTTTTTGTTGAACCAAAATGACTGAGGATTTGGACAGGTATTCTCTGCCTAAAGAAGTTACCATATCTGTCTTTTGTCTCACTTAGAACACTATTAGAAGGACTCAAATATAGTCTATGCAAGTCTTAGTTTTCATCATATTGATATTGCAGATCCAGGATCCAGAGCACTATTAGGTATGCTAAGATTATTATTATTATTAATTATAGTAGCAACAGTAATAGTAATAATATATCAACAACAACTTTACCTGCAGTAAGAAGATGCGAGTGATAGCACTGGATAAATCTGAAGAGACATGCACTATAGTACTGTATATCCGAGAGCTACCAGTATCAGATGCTGAAGCAAGAACAGAAGATCAAAGGAGCATAGAATGATGTCCCTCATTACTTGCCCAGACCCCAGCAATTTATAGGATTTTTTTTTTCATAGTTCTTAAATTAATTGTCTTCCATGATTTAGGCAACATTGTGTTTCAGATTAGAGTAAATTTGTTGATGGGCATAGCCTGACATAGCCAGTCATTTTTCTGTGGAGATGATAGCTATAGGTAGAATCTGATATGTACTTCACTCGTGGTTCTACCTAACCTCTCTTTGCAGCAGAGAACTTTCTTTTGAAGATATTGACTCAGTCTATTTCCTTGTATAAAGTACTGTTCTTTTTTACTTACTTTTAAATCATAACAAAGAGTAGGGTATTGTGCCTTTGTTTTGTTAAAGATGAGACAGTAAGGGATAGTTCTTTTGGAAAAGATTGTGTCACCATGTGTTCTTTTTTTTATATCTTCATAGCTTTGAGCTTTACTAACTGTGGTTACACAGCTAAATACCTGTCAGATTTCAAGGATTTGATCTGAGAATCAATATTTTAGTGTTGGACTTTCAAACCTATTCCTCAAATCTCAGGTCTTAGAATAAAACCCCTAAACAGCTGAATGACATAAGACGCATCATATTGCTCTTGTGTGGAAATGGTATCAGTCTCTTTTTTTTTTTTAAGGGATATAGAGTGTATCATTGTAACTTTTTTTAGTCAGTTTTATTTTTGAAAAGTCTGTTAAAACTTAAGCTGAGGCATTTCTCATGGGTGACTTTCTGGTGATTTTTTTCAAAAGCAAGCCTATTACTTTTTTTTCAACCAACTGGCTTTCAAGTCTGTTCTACTATATAAAATTCTACTGTGTGAACCACCTAATATGCATTCAGAACACATAGTGCTTTAATATCATATAACAGCAAATTCATTCTTCTATCTTATTTTGGTGTAGTCAATTTATTTTTTTTAATTTTTCTTTTTTTTTTTATTCTTTTTTTGGGTTTTTTTTTGAAATTAAATTTAGTTCATTGAAAGTATCATATGGTAAAGACTCAAAGAGGTGAAGATTAATGTGTGCTTTTGGAAGTCTGCCATGTCATCTTTGCTTAATCATAACAAATATGTGTCCAATGCTCCTAGAGTCAGGGTTTACTGACAGTCCAATGTAGTATCTTAAGGATTGCTTAGGATCTTCTGCATTTTGTCAGTGAAGGTTGTAGTGACCTAAATTAAAAAAAGCTAAGTCCATAAAACCATTCAATCCCTTTTAAAAAAGATGTGTCAGAAACAGCACTAATCCATGTCATTGATAGCAGATAGGTCTGTAATTGAGTGAAGTTAGTAATTCGTTTTGGTATTGATAAACCTGATCACATCACTTAGGAAATATTTTTGAAGCCATACACTTGCAATTTTGACTTTGTTCCTGCTACTTCAAAGAAGCAATATGGCTAATGCAGTCAGAAGAAGATTGCTTTGGTTTGGTTTTGTTTGATTTGAATTCCCATAAATACTGATTTGGTCATGGAATAAGGTGGCTGACTTCAGCTGAGTTATATCCACATATACGATATTTGACCCAAGTGATCTGATGCAGGGAAACACTGTGTTTAATAATAAATCTGTTTGAAAAAATGTATCTCTCAACTCACCAAGGGCCAGACTGCCAACTTCAATGCATTACTGGGAATCTGAGAGACACAAATATTACCATGACAGAAAAATCTTAAAATTCTCTGGGACTCATTCTTTCTTAAAAAAAACCCAAATCCCTCTTTCGGTAACTTCAGTGTAGAAATCTTTATTTTTGATACAAATAGTTCTTAACAGTAGAAGTAAGGAGAAAGCAAGCATAGTGGGGCATGCACATTCCTTAGGGACTGAAGATTACTATATGACTAACATGACCTTTTTTAAGTGATCATGAAAAATGCAACTCCCAAATTTTGCACTCACTAGAATGCAAAACAGGCTACGTACCTGGAAAAAGACATTACCAATAGCAGAAGTAAAAATCAGTGCTGCATTGTAACAGGCATTGAAAAATAATTCTTGAAGCTGTCACAAACAATGAAAGGATAATTTCTGCTATGTGTGTAAGTTATTTGAAGTGCCTCTAGTAACTGTTTGTACATAGAAGAAAAATGGTATTTGGGCCCATTTATCTTATGGTCATTCTTTGGTGATACTGAATAATTTCGTAGTTTCACTGTGTTCAACCTGTTTTAGGGTATTTTTCTGTTAGCTGCCAGACAATGCTTAAAATTAGTTTATGCAAATTGATAATATTTGTTTGTATTTCATTTAAATAATATGTTTCATTTATAACTAGCTTTTTTATTAACACCATGGCAGTTATAGCTTCTTCGGCTGGTTTTTTTGGAGTTATATAAAGCACTTATTTAATTTTGCTATGCACCAAATTTGTAAAACTACTAACCTATGATTTGACAAAATCTTGAAATCATTAGAAAACTCCTTACAAGCAGCAGAGAACCTGCCAAAGCCAGTGAAGATTCTTACCACACATGGAAATTGTTTCCTCAAGGCAAGCAGCTTTCCATTTTTGTGAAATGATCAGAAAATGTAATTCTGATTTTTTTGTTTGTTTGCTTATGCCCCTTTGCATTATTTTATAACCTGTGGAAGCCAAAATGGTGCAGTGTAGGAGGATATTAAGCCCCCTGACTCATATTCACAGATATTTTCAGCATGACTAAAAAAGTTCTTATTTTTCTCCTTTGCTGCCACACCTAACACTCAGTTTTAGTACTGTAAAGTGCTGTTGTTTTTAGCTTAGAAAATGCCCAGGACTGTGAATCCTAGTGGAGTAGGAAAGTTTCCCTTTCTGCTGTTCCTTGTCTAACTTCCAGCCATGAGAGGAGCATCCAGCCGGGATGGTCACCGCTTCAGCCATTTCAACACATCCCGTTTGCAAACATTCACCATACAAGCTTGAATCCTGGTTTTTAACTCCCTAAAAGACTGCTGCGGTTTTGAAGGGGGCTGAACTCTCGTGCTCTCTCTCTATCTGCTAAATGCATCTTGATGGTCATTCTGTGGCACTGAGGCCCCTGGGAGAGGAAAACCATGTCCAGGGCATCTAAGCCCAGCTCCACTGTCATGCATGCTCCTGGGGCAATGGTTGGAAGAATGACAGTTGGCACAGGTGGGAGCCACGACAGCTGCTGTCCTACCCATTTCATGGTGCAGACAGTCAAATGATTGACTATTTGATAATTTCAGAACCTGAGTCTCAAGCTAATAGTTATTAACAATAATTTCTACACTTTAGCATCTTTTTATATTCCATGAGTATACTACTGCAGTAGAAGAAATACATCCTATCACCTACTGCATACCTGAGAGTAATTTATTGTGCACTGAGAGCTGGCTTTAAAAGTTGAAAAGCCTGTAAGGGTGAAGTCTTGTTGTCTATCACATTGTTCAGTCACCAGAAATGATCTTGCTTTGTTTTCTTTCTTCCTTTTCTTTTTTTCACCTTTGACTAACAGCCTTTAGGGAAAAATTAGTTTATTTAAATCTATATTTGGAGGAGCTATTAAAAGGAAAAAAAGTCAGAAACAAATGAGCTACAAGAGACATAACAATAAAATCTTTCCTTGGTTATTTCAGTGTCTTGACACTTAACAGCTTAAATAACACTCTTCTTTCTGCCCCAAAGTCCCTAGCTTGAGAGTTTTTAAAGGACATTTTATCTGTTTCAGGTGCTAAAATTGTTCTGGAACTGCTGAGTGGATGCTCTAAGTAACTAGGTCTCTTGCTGTTCCTAAGTAAGAGCATTTCCTTCCTTCTTTCCTGCCTTCCTTCCTCCCTTCATCCATTCATCTGTCCTTCCCTTCCTCCCTTTTTTCCTTTCTTCCTCCCTTCTTTCCTCTTCTTTTGTCCTTTCACTTTCTGTGTGAGAGACAGGGAACAGTTGGTGACTGAGTCCTTTCCTTCTGTTTTACTTACTGTTATACTTACATTCAAGTATATATGTGACTTTTCATATGTTTATATAAAAAAAAATATATATATATGAACTAGAAGCATATAAACATATAAAAATCATTATACATATAAAATGATAAATATATATACACAAAAAAGTCCTGACTTCAGGCTTCTTTCCTCTGTAATTCATCTTCTAAAAATGAAATGAACAACATTTTGTATACTGCAACATGAAGAATATTAAACACTGGAGCTAATTCCTTTGGTTGCTACCGTGTTTTGTCTGTAGGCAGTAGCCAGGGCAGATAGGAGAGAGCAGTTAGGTGAGCAATGAGAAGATACCCTCATCTACCCACATGTGCTGTCAGCTTGGGAGGTCTTTCTGGGGACTCTTTAGGAACTGGAGCAATCAGACAGACTGGATGAAGACTGCTGATTATAGACTGAAGGATGTGGAATCTCCTTCTGTATGGTATGTTCAGACTGCTATAATGAGAAGTTTTGAGATACTAGGAATTCTCCTGCATTTTCTGTAATTCTTGGAAAACTCGTCAAAATCTCTCTCTCTCATGAAAGTACTTAGTACAAACATTTTAGCGTTCATGCCGTGATAATCATGGCTATAATAAACAGCACTCTTTTTCTTTCAACTCATTAATGAAATTTAGCTTTTACAGTACAAAAAAAAATCATTTAAGCGGTGACTTTAGTTGCTTCTGTGAATTTCCTGAAAAGTATAAAATAACATTATTAAAGAGTCACCCAACTGTGGAAGTGTTAGAAATTGCTTGTATTTGTATATCTCCATCTTGAACTAGAAGATAAACTTTGAGAAAATTGTCTGCCATCTTATTGTTTCTGTTTGAAATTATAAGATGTGGCTTAAATACATGGCCATAACAGGGGCCACGCATTTAAAACACTGACAATGGTCCTAGACAAGCTGAATTAATTTGTCTTGCAGTCATAAAAACTATCAAGTGCTACTAAAACCAACGATCTGAATCAAAAGATGAAAAAGTATAGATACGGGGCAGGAGATGAGGCAGTGAAAATGTCTTCTGAGGTAATTTATTTGCATTCTAATTTCCATAAAAAATGAATTATTATTACATTTCTGCATATTCAGAAGTTAGTAAATACATTAACTTTTTTTCCTAGTTCCATGGAAGAATACCCATTTTAAAAGCATTTTATGCATACCCTCTTGTGTGATTTTTGAAGGTTTTTTTTCT